GTGAATATTTTGTGTTTAAAACTCAAATTGGAATTTTTTTCACGATGGAAAGGCTATAGTAAGGCATGTTTTGGGTGATTTTTAAAATATCAAAATGCTCTAATTTGATGAGAAACATACAGAAAACATAAAATTTTGACATTAAAAAATATCAAATTGTTATGTTTTCTGCAATTAGAGCAAAAAAATAAGAATTTTCAGTAAAATCCTAATTTTGCTTATCATGTTGGTCAACAGTTTTGAAAAATTATTCAGAAAATTTTTTTTGGGGAAATTGGCAAAAACCTAATTTGTCATGTTTGTCAAAATTTGAAATGTTTTGATGAAATGTTTTTTGAAAAACAAATGTCAAAGTTTTATGTATGTGTTCTGCATAGTTCTCATCAAATTAGAGCAGAAATGTGAGAAATTTATCCTTAAAACTTTTTCAGCAAAATCCTAATCCTAATTCACCATGTGATTTCATTCAGATGTTGTGATATATGTTGAAATGTTTTCCTAAATTCTTTACTAAAACTTTATGTTTTTTGCATATTTCTCATCACATTAGATAATTTGGGGAATTTCTTTGGATTTGGATTTTTTTCTGAATTTTTGGCAAAATCCTATCCTATACTCAATCCTAATTTAGTATGTCATGTTTTACAGATGTTGAAATATTTACTTAAAAATTAATTATCTTTTCTGCATGTTTCTCAGCAAATTATAGCATTTTGAGAATTTTCTTTTTAAAAAATTATCTTCTATCCTTCAACATCTTAATTTCACATGTCATTTTCGGTCAGATGTTGAAAACCTATGATGAAAATTATGTTTTCTGCAGGTTATGATGAAATGTTAATAGTGATTGTACTGCATCATTGATTTAACTCAACAGGTAAAAAAAATACTCATATTAGCTTTCTTTTAGAACTCACAGATTTTCGCAGCGAATGTCGAACGAAGTCGGAAGTTGTAGCATCTCCCTCTGTTATCCTCATGATTTCCATACTGCAATTCGTTCCACAGTGGTTGTTTGATGGCACGACGAATGTATGAAAGTGATTGTAAAATGTATCTTTGGACACTGTAACTTCTCTTTGTTGCTCTTCCTTTCTTCTGTTGCTGGCATCATGTTTCAGAATAAACCTTGAAGAGATGCAACTAAAGCACATCTCAACCGCTTACTTTTCTGCAAAAATGACAAGACATGCACTGCTCTGGGGCATTGCCGTATCTTTAATCCCTAAGACATAGATTTCCCTGTGTAACATTGCACATTGTCATCATCATCGTCATAATTAATCAGCTTTTGGACAGTACAGACAGATGGGGGGGGGAGGAGGGGTTCTCCAGGCTACAAGGAAAATCATAAAAAACAATAAATAATAGAAAAATCTTCTGCACACAATCACATAGAAATTCTACATAGTGAATACAACAATGTTACAGTACATTTAAGCCGTTCTGTACAAATAGATTTTTTTATATATTTTCTTCTCACATATTTCAAATAATTTCTGATACACTGCACTTTTGGCCGACTTTACTGAGGAGTAGTATAGGGTTACAGATATAACCCCGGTTCTCTGAGGCCTTAATTGTTCAAGAGCAATAAGGGTTCACACCTCAGGTCCCTTCATTATTATTTGGAACTTTAATATACTGCAGCATGTGCTGAGAATTAATGTTGCTATTGTCTCCTCACCATCAGGAAGTTTTTTTTTTGTTTTTTTTTAGTATTTCTGTTCCATTCAACACGATGCTGGCGGACGATACTCATATAATAAAGCCACCACACTGCACACTTTGAACTGCGGAGAAAATTAAAATCATGTGTTGACAAACACACTGATAAACAACACAGTAAGGGCAGTTGTTCTGTTTTTTTAATCAAAAAGCACCTTTTGACCAAAACCCTTCTCCTTTCTGTCCGTGTAAAGAACAAGATGTTAAAGTCCATGTTCATAATAATGCAGGTGACACTGAAGTTGAGGTTTTTGTTTCTTTTCCTTCCTCTGGAGGAGGGTTGTTGTAGTGAGAAGTGACCAAATGTGAACGTCCTACACTCAACAGAGGATGCAGTGAACAACACTGTCATGACCAGTGACTTATGTCTCATGATCATTGTCAATTTTACAGTGAACTTTGTCACGATTGTATGAAACTGGAAATAAACAGAAGGCGTGAAAATGTCTTTTATCGAACACTGCTTGCTCTCACTCACATTTTAGTCCATTCCATTTTGGGCACTTTCATCCATTGGCCTTATCTTCCACTCAGCTCTGAATAGGAGGCAACCTTTAATCAGAGTTAGGGTTAGGGTTAGAGTTATAGGACCAGAAACTGTTGCAACTACACTGCAAAACACAGACCCTGTTTCTAGAAATACCAGTACATCTTATGGAATGCATAAAAAAATAAAACATGTAGTTACATTTTTTATTAACTTAACTAATCCTTATTTACTACACATAGACAAATGTAGATGGCCCTGTCACCTTGTATAATAATATTGTCAATCTATTCAGGGAGTGACGATGCCAGGCCTCGTACTGCACAAATGTCCAAAGGATGATTGTGCAGAGACAGATCTGGACTGCCTGCAGTCCAGATCTGTCTTCTAATGTAAGTGTAGCAAATCATGGAGAAAAGAGTCAGCCAATGGTGACCTGGTACTTTTGGACCAGTGGTAAGCTTGCCTGTACCTACACTTTCTTCTCCAGAATTGAGTATTTTAAAGAATTTTTAGAATCTGTACTAACTTTAGGGGATTTATAGAAAGCGCTGACATTTTTAGAACCTGATATATTTAACACAACTGAGAATAAATGATAGCATTAGGCAGGGACTCTCCAGTCAGGTCACAACGTTTACACTATCAGTTTACACACATATATTCACCTATATTTGAGATATTTTAAAAGGTGAGAACTGCACCTATGTAGGTGGCCATAAGTGAACAGGAACGTTCACATTTATCTGCATTATTAAGTACATGTTCCAGCTCAGCCAAAAGCTGTACTCACTAATCGGTGCCCACTCCATTCAGGTCAGTTCCATCACAGATGCTCAAATATTGGCATGCACGTTCCAGACATCCACCTTCCACACATCCACACAGCACCCATCTGAATAGGACCTCACACACAAAACAGATGGCCAAGAACAGATGAACTCCACGTACGTGTTTTTCTGTATCTACACCCAGGAGTCGGGGGAGCCGGTGAACTTGTTCCCTTTGTTTGAAGGCCTCCGTGTGGTGGAGTAGAAGTCCACATAGTTGGTGTTGGCTTTCAATCGGAGGCTCTGGCTGGCGTAGCCGTCAGGGGAGGACGGGGTGAGGTGGACTGGTTCGTCCTCAAAATGCTCCTCTCCGTAGCCTTGTGGGGACGAGAGATACATTCTGAAGCTGTTGTAGTTCTTCCTGTCAGGTTCATCATAGAATGGCTCTGAGTGCTGGGACAGAGGGGCAGCAGCAGTTAGGACAAATGGATTGGGTCATTGAAAGCACATATTGATAATCCAGTGGTTCTCAAACTGTGGTACGAGTGCTCTCTAGAGGTACGCAGGGTAAATTCATATTTTCACATTTACATTTTCAATTGAATAAATCTGAAACACAGCATGCACAATTAATACAACATTTAAACATAAACATTTATAAACATCTCTCCTGTGGTGAAGCTAACAGGGAAGGCCTATGCTGCTATATTCTAATGTTGGTCTGAGAAGTTTGAGAAGCACTGTGATAATCAACATCAATCAATATATTTTCATTCTACAAACCCATGGCTTTGTGTAAGCAGGAAAAACGTTCCAACAAAGACTACAGCAATCTCAACTTTAGCAAGGCAAAACTACTGAAACATCTTTTCCATCTTTCCAGTACTTATGATATTATTACAAGCGCTAAACAACATGTTATAAAAGCTCCCTCTAGTGGTTGACCACTGTAACTTTAAGCACTCTAGATGCATAACTACTGCACCTGCTGCACGTGGAGTTAGGCTGCAGTGCTTTCTCCAGCCTCGTCCTCATTTTGCACCACCCAGTAGTTCTGTCTGTTTTCAGCTTTTTACTGAACAGAGCTGTGTGAATTTTTTTGTCTTGTCCTGTACCATCCTAAGGATAAGGTTGAACAGTATACACCAGACTAAAACTGACTGGGCTAAGCTGAAATGTCTGCAAATAAACTGGTTCATGTTGCATAGTGCATATTGTGAGCAAGTAACAAGGGAAAAAAAGCCCCAACGGGAGGACAGGAAGAGCAGTTTGGCAGTTAAAAACAAGCATGCATAAACAGTGTGTGTTTCAGTCTGAGGGGTCAGGTGATGACATTATCCTCTGTCATCCACTGTAGGTCAGCCTCATAGCTATTTTTTTTTTCATTTTAAGGAAGAGTGATAAAGAAAATGCAATCTCACCTGGGACCTTCTTAAATCATCTCCTGACTGGGAAGAATATGTTCCAATGAAATACGGTGTTTTCTTCTCAGACCCTGAGGTGTATAAAAATCAATACCAGAAAATGACCATGGGAAACTTCTCTTCAATCACACTCCAGGGAGCTGCAAACACATTGATATGGTTTGACACGAGCTGTTCCACACAAACCTGTGTACTGTCGTTTGTGTAAACTGTTGTCTCCATAGTATGTGTCCAGTTGCATAGATGACTGCGCCCTCTGATAGTTGGAATTGTGTCTCCTGATCCCAAGCATGGCTGGAGAAGATGTTGCACTTCCACCTGAGAGGAATTATTCATCACCAGATGTTCCAAATGTCTATTTTTGTTTTATAACTTTTTAATGAAATAATGATAATGATACAGCATAACAAAGTCTTCCATAACCCCATTTCCCACCCTTTTTCCAACCAAATTCACATCACAACAGGGACAAACAGAAAATACATATATAAGCAAATAAAACAACTAACCCAGACCAAAGACTCAAGTTAAATGAATAAATGCTAAATATAAAATAAAAATAATGTTTTTTCGTTTTTCTTTAAAAAAGTCTTTTTTTTCCTCCAAAATAAATCTGGTGAGGGAAATTTTTTTGTAAAATTTTTGTATTTATCTAATCATAAGATGAAGCAGAAGCAGAGGGAAACTCACCTGACTGAATGACAGGTGACATCTGCAGCGGGCTGGTGGGCAGCGTCGGCTGTGAGCGGTAGCGATCTCGCTCCAGAGTGGAGACGGGAGTAATGAAGTGGGTGTAGTTCCATCCATCCTGTTTAGAGTTTCATTTACAAACTTGAGGAATTATGGGTGAAACGACAATCTATAGTCTCCGATTTCACATTAAACAAAATCTAATAAACAATGTGTCGTGGGACAGGGCGCTTCAGACAATTTAGTGTCCTGTAGTATTAGACCTGTTCTTTCTGTTGGCACTGACCTGTTTGTAGAGGCTTCTCAGCTCTCTGTACTGCCACAGTGTGTTCAACACCTGAGCTGCAGCCTTGACAACTTTCATGGAATACCTGGAACGTCACAGCATCGTTATATCTTTACTACACAATTGACTCTGTAGTGTTTTAGGAAAAGGAGAGAGAGTTGTTTCTTACCCCTTTCCTCGTCCTTTGCTGATATCTACCAGCTTCTCTATCCCTCCGCTGTCAGCTAAAGCTTTGGCATTCTCCATGTTTCGGCTGGTGACTTCATGCAGCGTGCAGCAGACTGATGCCACAGTGTCATCTGACAGCGAGGACGGATTGCTACCAGGCAGACGATTCACCAGATCCCGCATAGCGTACTTTCCTGCAGGGTCCAGACACAGACTGATTTGTTGATATTAACCACAAATTTAATACTTGGTTTATTTTTGTAAAATTCATACTTTCACCATTTTAGAAATCCAGAATTTTTTTTTCCACTGGAGAGGCTCACCATTATTTGTCTGCTGACATTTCTAGACATATACTGATACATATACATCTAGTGTCCATAAGGGGGCAATAAATCATTATTTACTATAACTGGAGCTGACTGATATGACTGGACTAGTGTCATACTGCTGCATGAATGTGTGTCTGCGTGTCAGTGGAAGAGGGAGACATGGGGAAGGGAGCGTAGCATGTCTGCAAACCTATCAGCTCTTTATTGCGGCTGTCCAGTGCCATGTTTCGTAGAGCTGTGGCAACAGAGCAGACCACCCGGTCATTGTCCATCCTCAGCAGCTCCACCAGGATAGGCAGACCTTTCTCCTTACGCACCGCCGCCCGGATATAGGCCGAAAACTGCCAACACAAGGTCAACGGTCAGATCACTGGCGTCCAGATACATTTTCTAAAACAAGCAGGTTTTACCTTCCAGTTTCCAGCAGAAAGATTTTGCAGTGACCCCGCGGCACCCTCCAGTGTTGCAGGGTTGGAGCTTTCAGCCAGCAGGTTGAGGTACGGCTTCACGACCATCGGATGCCACAGCAGCTCTGCACCTCTGAGAGGCTGAGAAAAACCTGGGATTGACCCCGGATCATCCCACTGCACAGGAGACAACATTCCAAAAGCAATCTTTCTTTCTCAGTTTTCAGATCCTGGAAAACAGAATTGGACTTTTTGTGTTCTTCCTTCTACCTTGTCATCGGGCCAGCCACTTCGCTTCCTGCCCCGCTTCCTCTTGCCCCAGCAAAGGTAGTCCAGCTCCTTGGATGGAAAAGAAAAGCCCAGGAGAGTGTCCAGCTCCTGGTTGCCGAGGAGGCGAGAGGAGGGCATCTCCACCTCCAGTCGGTACGAGAGGTTTCTCAGGGTGCATATACTGTTCTCTACAATCTGAGGAGAGAGTTTATTTGAAAGATGAATGAAGAGCACAACAACACTTGACCGGTGTATTTTGAAACACAATAAGCACAGAGTATATTCATGTGTATATGCACTGTAATAAGTAATAATAAAGTAATGTAGCACACTTGTCACAAGCGACGATTCAGTCTAAATGGGACTGGATTATAGAACAGGCTATAGAAGTTGAGACATAATATGATAAATAAATATAGTGTGAAATCATTTACCAAAACCATGAAAGAGACCCCTCCCACTTTTGAAAATCTAAATTTGAATTTCTGAAGATCTTCTAAGTGAAAAGATACCACAGTGTGGTTAGGTGTCAATTTTCCCCTTTAACGTACAAGTGTCGCCATAAAACTCTCTTAGTCCATTCACCAGTGACTTTGTCTCTCAATCTGTTGGACTTGAAAAGTGACCCAAGGGACAAAACAAATGTTTTTCAACTGCCAGACAATGACACTGCAAACTTATTCCAATAATCCACTTGCTTCACTCAAAGCATTTTGTGTAGATGACATGAAAGCCAGAGCTGTTTTTTCTCAATCCCTTTTCCCTGGATCTCAGTCTGAAAAATGACAGTTAAATTGACCAGAATCTGCCATGCACAGAAGATCTAAAGAGGTCCCAATCTGCAAGATGGGTCTAAAGTAGTGTGTTTATGTTAAGGAAACTGAAAAGGTGTGTAGAACTAGTATTTTGAACAAATAGACTCAGTTTAAATAGAATTCCAAGGATCTTGGGTTTTCATGAAACCATTATTAAAATGATTCCTTTCAAATGGACAAATATGTGTTGTGTATGTGTGTGTGTGTGTGTGTGTGTTTCGGCCGCACCTTGCTGTCATAGTCGGAGGTGTTGTTGCAGGCTTTGAGGACATGAAGGAGGGAGTCGACCAGACCTTCACAGCAACGCAGCTGACTCCTGGCCTCCTCCCCTGCTGAGCTCAGGTTCCTAACACGCATGCACACACACACACACACACACACACACACACACACACACAGATTGAGATTTTGAAGTGCAGTACATTTACTCCTCCACTGGGTGGCTTCTAAAACCTGCCTGGATACAGCAAAGCAGTGGAGCTGCTCCTCCAATAGGGAACCTTCAACTGCCACTTATGAAGAGCTGACATGAAAAGGCCGAGCCAATTCCCACAATGCATTTCTAGAGCATCAATCTGTACAGAGTCAGTCAGAGAGCAGAGGAACGCCGGAGGCCTTCGTGACTGAGACACGTACAGCTGCAACATTAAAGGAAAATTAAACCAATGATTAAAATATATATATTTTATTCTAATGATACAGTCTCAGACCTGAAGAATTATTTCTTCTAATTAATAACAGCAACTGGCCAATCACAGTCCAAGTACAGTTCAGTCAATACACTGTGTCTTCAGTCTCAGCTCTGCAGTGTTGTGCTAGCGACATAATTAAATCCCCCATAAATAAAACCTGCTTCTGGAACATTCTGATGTCTCAGCTACACAGACTTCTCTTTAACCCACTTAGTTTTCTGTCTGCAGCCTTAGGTATGAAGAACACTATAAAAAAACATATTGCAATCCCATTGCAGCTATTGTGTTTCACAGTAGCTGCAATGGGAATGCTAAAGTTTAGTTTTTCTTCATTTGGTCTAAAAACATATCTATAAACACAATTCCAGAAACGCAGAAAAATGTTCATAAAAATACAAGACAAAATGTAAATGTAAAATGTATTGAATTTCCAATCATTTCAAATCAAATATCAAATGTTATAATGTAGTTTTTGTCTTCTTAATGTGTCTTAGCAGTAAGAGATCAAATCTGCAGCACAGAAGACCAATCATTCTTGGAGTAATCACTTCCCATCTCAAATCAAATTATCTTTTCATGCACACGAGGAGATAAAGCACTGAGTGAAATCTATTTTCATTAAAAAAATTAGATTAACTTTATGTGTATTTGGGGATAAATCTACCTGGTAACTGTTTAAATTGGATGCTGATTCATTTGCAAAAACATGATCATTAAATCTTAATACCAGCGGCAATAAAACAGACAAAGCAGAATCAGAACTTATAGCTGTATAAATGTGTTCTGAAAAACAGGAGCCTGTTGACAGAGTGTGAGTCTCAGCTCACCTCAGACACCCGGTGGTGTTCCTCAGCAGCAGGGATGACTGGAATTTGACTTTGTGTTCATCACGGTGGGACGTGCTGCTCCAGCCTGAGTGTGGGATGATGACCGTGTTGGTCAGCGTGGACAGGGCATCTCGAATGATGGTCATTTTCACAGCGTCGCAGGAGGAGAGGTTCCACAGGACACCTACAGGTGAAAAGTGGAAAAAGTGTTTTTGAGGCATAATAAGAGTATCCCATAATACTGTTACAGGTAGAAACTGGACATAACTTAAAGGTATATTATGCAGAGATTTAATTGAAAACAATTTTTTATACAAATGCAGTGTCCTCTGTTATGTTAATAGGCTTCTACACCAGCTCAAGAGACACAGAGCTTTAGTTCAAACCCTGAAAAGAATGACCAAAGGGGGCAGTGGAGGGTCAGGATCAGCTCAGAGAAAAAAAGTAAAAGTTTTTGTGTTGCAGAAATCTATACATTGAAAGTGAAGAATCTAGTTGTACAGCTCAAATATCCTGATGTTATCAGAGTTTAACATTATATTGTTTGTGATGTATGGGTGAACAGTCCTAGGACCTACAGTCTGGCAGCATATTTTGCAAAACAAACAAAATTTAAAAAAATGTATTTAAATACTCAAAATTGCAGGCCTCTTGTTGCATTTCAAAATAATTAAAAAAATATTTTCCTAGATTTTATGTTGTCGTTGTTGCCGAGGCATTTCCCTTGTTTTGTCAGTACAACATTGAAGTATTGACGTCCTTTTGGGTTAAGAAGCTGGTTCCGAGTGTTTGTTGCTAAGGTTGACCGATTATATGTGCACATACAAAACCAAGTTTTTTCTTTTAAGGCTATGATAATCCAACAGATTCCAAAAGAGTTCTGGTACCGACTGCTGCCATAAAGAGACAGAAAAAAAGATCCAAAGGAAAAAGGATGTCTGGGTGTTTGGAGTCTGAGTCATCCTGGAGCTTCATATCGTCTAATATTAAACATCATGTTGGGCTGCACAGCCGTCAGTGCTGTATCATTTCCAAAGCACATTATTTTAGCATCTGTCCCGAGGACTGTGCCGAGATCTGCTCTGTCAACAGTGCTTACTGTGTTTAAGCTGCTGCCATTCTCACCTCCTACAGAACAGCTGAAAGACAGATTAATGCACTGCCAAACAGTCAGACGGCAACTTCCACCAATGCTCAGAAAAGCAAACTGGCCTGGTTGAATGGATCAGGTTTGAAAAAATGTAACATGCATTTCTTTAAGGTTACGTACCAGTGACCAGTTCACGGACTTCATTGTCGGTGGTTTTCCTGAGGAGACGCAGCAGGGCGGGAACGCCGCCGCAGTTCCTCAGCGCCACTTTATTGTTGTCTGTGGCCTTGCCATACACCAGGTTCCTCAGCGCCCCGCAGGCGCTCTTCTGTACTTCTCCAACTTTGTGATCTAAGAGGTCCACGAGGTGCTGGATGCCTCCTAGGTGACACACCTGCAGGACAAGAACAGAAAAATGCCCGTCATATATATATTTACACGAGGGGGGACTTTCATACATCTAATACATGTAGCACTTTATGGACTCTGTATTTGACTTTTTGAAGTCTGTATAGAGGGTAAAAAAGCCATCTCAAGATTGGGTCTGTATTGACATGATCTGCCTCAAATCCATGATCTACTTTTCTTATGAATCTGTTAATACGTTACAGTTAACTCTAATATGGAATCACTATGGAGATGTGATCAAGAGCCAATACGTTTGCTGCTAAAAGTTAGCAAATTGTTGAAAATACCATCTTTGGCAGGAGTGAGCTCTCTGAGTGAGTCAGTGTCTCTCCACCTGAGGAGTGACTCATGACAGTGATGTCTGCCTTGTTATTTTTACCCAGATGGCAGCACAGCATGGCCTGTCACCTTACCTCCACCTTGACCCTGTTGTCTCCGTAGCACAGATGCTGCAGGTAGGCGGCGGCGTTGGCTTGGACGGAGGGGAAGTGATGCTGCAGCATGTGGATGACCTCTGGAAGCTCAGGGTCACGCCAGGCAAACTCTCTGAGGGAAAAGGAAACTTATGCTAATGCTGTTTTTTCTATTAGCGTGACTAAGGACTTTTTAGTTACTATAACAGTTACTATATATAAAAATAAATACACAGTTGGATTTTGCATCTTGGACTTTTTCATATCACTCACTGATTTCACAAACATGTCAATACTAATGCAAAAAAACAATTTTACATTTTAGAATATCATTATAAGACACACTTTAAACAACAACAACAACTCTAACAACAACAATGACACTTGAGCTTTGATAAAACATCAAAACTAACAATTGTTTTGAGCCCCTGTCGTGGTTTATGTTTTGGATTAACAAAGTCCATTGTGTACAATGGCAGCATAAACAGCTGGTGGATCCAAGGAAGATGAACACGTTCTAATCCTCTTTCAATGTTATTGGAGCAAGGGACATATAATCTTCCATATCTTTAATCCACACAAAGATGTGGATTTCTTCATGAAAATGTACATGTCAGAGAGAAGAGTTAAAACATACACTAGACTTAAACTTTATGTAAGTAACACTGAGTGTAAAAACTGGGTGCAAAATTTGGCAGACACTGCTGCCTAATGTGCAGGACCTTTAAATCCTGCACACTGGACTGGTTTAGTATACTGGCCTGCCTGCAGTCCAGATCTGTCTTCTATTGACAATGTCTGTTTTATGATGAAGAGGAAAATAGGACTAGGATCGCAGTAAGACTGAGTACAAATTTGGAATTTGAAAAACAGTTGGTGTCCCCTTTCACCAAATAGTTTGTGGAATGTGACCCCGGCTTGAATCTGCCTCTGTCCAAGTCACCACGAGAAGGTCACTGCTTTTTATCTTTTACTGTTGTAGAGAATCCAGAATCCAGAGAGTTCTCGCTGTGTTTTTGTGTGCGACATACCTTGGATCTTTATGTATACTCTCAATAGATGGACTCCGTGTCGTGACCCGTTCCACCAATCCTGAATGTCGCTGCTGGTAGACCGGGTCTCCAGAGACCCTGTAGGAGTCGACGTACAGAGCTGCTGAGCTCAGCCCGTAGCTGCTTCTTTGGTACGGCAGCGTGTTGCAATGACTTGTCGCCCGAGGGAGCGTCCCCATGCCTTTTGAAGTGAAATTACTTTTTTTAATATTTCAATCATAATCCAGAAAATAAGCCTTGCTACAGAACTATTAGCTAAAAAGGTTCTGCTTCAAAGTCTTCAGAGCAGCATTAGAGTGCATGTAAACTTCAGCCTAATTAAAATCTAACCTCAGGAACTGGTAATGACAACGGTTCCTCTGCCTGTAATCTGTGATTTTCACAGATTTTTTTATTGAAAAAATTATCATATAGATTGATAACAAAGTGAGAATAACGCCAGCTCTTACAGTACAGTATGTGACACTTAACAGCACATTTCCGAGAAGCTCCAACTTTTGTCTGTTTTCTTGTATTAAAAAAGTATTTTCTTCGAATTCTGGTCATCATCTGCCTTCTTTTGTGGCCAGAGCTATTCATTTCATCAGTTTCCATGGAAAATTCAATTTATTTGTTACAAATGTATTTGTATGAGAACCATACAGGTCTCACATGACATGAATGCTGAAAATGGAAGAATTGAATAAAGTTGCTTTTTATCCAAACAAAAACAAAACGGGATTAAAATGATGCACTACTTTAGGTTCAAAAATGCCCTGAAAACATTTACAATCGCCTTAAAATTGTCAAGATTTAACGCTTGAGAAAGATCCGCACTAAGTTCTATTGTCCACACTTGAAGTTTTTTTAGCATGTTCCTCCCTCCATTACATGTCAAACTTTTAATGTACTATTGGGTAAAATAGTCAAATATTATTTTTAAGGAAGCACCAGTATTCATTCAGTATTTTGTTTATTTGTCTCACAGATTTGTAATTTTTTTGGTAAATAAATTGCAGGAATGAAGTCTTAAATTAAAAAATGAAAAAAGGCAAAAAAATGCTATTATTTAGTGAAAGCTAATCAAAATTAGCACCAAATAGTTGCACATACATAGTACGAAGTGATATGTGCCTTTTATCTACTCTTGCAATTCAGTCGAGATGACAGATACTATAATAAAAACTGCCATACCGGTGCCTGTCCTGTAGAGGGAGCCCTGAGGGTCGTGGGTTGGGCTGTGGTACAGAGGGCTGTGGAAGGAGCGTTCATCAAAGACAGGCGTCATGTGGCAGTCGGGAGACAGGGCTGCCCTCAGTTCTGGATCGATCTGTGCATCGTGGCCTGCATAAGAGCTATGGAGGCCTGCAGGTGAGAAACAGGAATAAAAACGTTAAAAGTTAACAACGTACACAAAGCACTGCATTACTTAGTTTACTTAGCAGAAAGCCCAGATGTTGACATTCAAATATAAATTTGAGTTCAGAAATATACATTATTGTCTTTTTAAAGTGGAAATTATAAGTTTGAGTTCACGTTTACCAAGAATTTTGATACATTTCAACTGAAGTGCAACCTTAGTTTGAACGCTGCAGTGCCAGTAGTTAGAGTATGGGCTTTTCTTGTAGGTTCAAGTATTGCTTCTCCTCTTCATGTAATCTGGGATTATATTGGATCAGTAGATAACTGAGGAATGAGGCAATTTATTGGGTCACCTAGCACAGTGGGAGGAAATCAGTCAGCTGGAGAATCTGAGGCAATTTATTTAGTTCACTGACTTCTTTACACACACACACACACACACACACACACACACACACACACACACACACTGTTTCAGTTTACTTTAAACACAGCTACATGGATGCTGCCATGTAGCTGTGTTTAAAGTGTTTAAAGTGTTTAAATCAGTTTACTTTAAACACAGCTACATGGCAGCATGCACAAATTGTTGGGAAGCACTGGCGTCTTATGAAAGCAAAGTTATTTAAAGGAAGTGCACGGTGACGGCGGTGATATTCCTGTTCTGTCAGCTGATGATCACATGCTGGCTGGTAGGATGCTCCTCAGGGACTTGATTATAGAGACCACCGTATATGGGTCAGTGGGCGTGGTTTGTAAGGTGAGTGAGGGTGTGAATAGAGGAATAAATCACTGTCAGTGCAGCATCAGCAGCAGTAGATTTTCTGACAACCGCACTGGGCGACAGTCAAACAGAGAAAACTAAAATTATTTAAAAATAATCAAAAGTTATATTTAAATCTTTATTGAGACGTATGATCTATACTTTTTGATAGACTTATAAATCAGTCGATTATATGTAAACAAATACAGAATAATGCTGTTGCTAAATTTGATTATGCACCAACAGTAAATTCCTAATTATAAATTAAACAAAGGTATACTTAAAATAAAAGTTTAATTTTTAATCTTGGTACTTTGACACACGCCCCAGCCAGCTCAGTCGGTAGAGCACAAGACTCTTAATCTCAGAGTCATGGGTTCAAACCCCACGTTGGGTGACTTCCTTTAGGTCCAGGTGTGACAGAGGACAGAGACTCAAGCTTAAGACCCTGGCTTCAAAACAACTGAACACCATAAACAAACCACCTGGGGTTTTGTCAGAGAGCGTATCCAGAATAAAACTTGTTATAAATCACTGCAGGTGTTAATGCTGTGGTGGTTGTTTTGAAACATTTACTATTCCTATAATTCTTGGTCCATTTTGGAAACATGTAATACTGAGTCTTTTCTGGACAAAAAATATTATTTTTGTGCATCATTTAAAATTATTTTTTGTATTTTTTGTTACGATGTGTTTTTTGGATTTTTGCATAGAAAAATGTGAAATCACATCATGTTTGTCCTTGTTTTACAAAACAAATCCCACCATTTAAATCTGTTGTGTCAATGTTTAGAGACTTATATCCCCTTAGCGCTAACATCAAAGTGACTTTGTGTAGGATTCTCTGTGAGCCCGGGTGACTGAACAGGAAGACAGGAACCCAGGATTAATCCTCTCTCATGTTTCTCAGCCCTCCTCAGCTGTCTTCAACGATCAATGTAGAACAAAGTCAATAACCAAGTGTCCAGGGAGGCTGATCATCCTGTCACTGGCAACACTCATTAGGAAAATCATTATCATGATCTCCTAGTCTAGAATGGTTTGATGATGGCTGATATCTGCAAGAACTGAATCTGTTATTTTGCTTGTCAGTGCATCTCAGAGGCTGTTTTTAAAAATAAAAAAAATATAAATAAATAAAAAAATGGGACGTCCTCTCTGATCATCTCTCTGGTGCTTTATGGCTACAGTCCCAGTGAACTGAGCTACAGGGTGTTTTCATCTGTAAAAACAACAGGAAGTGGAACAATGCAAAATATTCTGGAAACAGCATGACCGTCCTTTAAAAAATGGGTAAACTTAGCTTGACAATTCAACAAACTCTAATGAAGAAACTTACTGCACACATAAAAATGATGATCATGTGATAGAGTAATAAATAATAAGTAAGGAGAGCTCCATAAAGTCTAAATTAACTATTAATATGTTGAAAAAGTGTTAAACTTTTTCAACATATAAACTAATAAACTAAAAAAGAAAAGTATTTGTTTTTAGCATTTAATTCTTCAAGCTATGGTTGAGATTTTTAATATTCTGCACCTGATAGGGAAGCACTAAGCCCGGCTAGCTCAGTCGGTAGAGCATGAGACTCTTAATCTCAGGGTCATGGGTTCGAGCCCCACGTTGGGCGACATCCTTTAGGTCTGTGTGTGACAGAGGAAGGGGAATCTTACCATGAGTGTATCCAGAATAAAAGCTGTTCTAAATCACTGTGGTGGTTTGTTTTGAAACATGTACTATTCCTATAACTCTTGGTCCATAGTAACATGCAATACTGAGTCCTTTCTGGAACAATTTTGGCTGTTTTTGATCTGTTATTTAACTACTGACATATAAAATAACTATTTCTGTAATTTTATGAACATGTTCTTTTTGCAAGAATACAGGAATCTCTAAAATAAACAGGCAAAATCCTGTTAAATTACAGATTTTTTTTTTTAGAGTGTGCAGTTATTGAAGTACAATCTGTGCAGCTTTAACACTGTAGCCCTGTAACATTGACTCTTTATGTGCGGATTCTACACTAACAAACTTCAAAGAATACCTGGTATAAGGAGCATCCGGCAAAAACGTTTTCTATTAATGTCTTTTCAATTTTCAATAATCAGGTCTGAATAAGAGAAAAAAATAAAAATAAAACATATATAGTAATAATAAATAGACACTGATAATCTTTATATGGTTTATTTTTGTTGTCAGCAATAATGATTGATTAATGATGACTGATTTTTAGTCTATTATTTAACAAACTATTATTTAAAAAACACATTACATTTATATTTTTTCATTTTTTTTTCATGCAACCAGTAGACTCCTGTAAAAAAGCAACAGGAATTCCCCACTGCTGTCATGAGATAATTCTAGTGACGTCTCAGAAATTGGCCCCGCCCCACACACACCAGGTCTAATCACATGCAGAGCTTGCTGTTTGCGTGACAGTAATTTCGTCCAACAAAAAACCCACTGCTGTGTTTCATGACTTTGTTCTCAAAGACACAGAAATCTGGGACATTTCTGCAGAAAATACTGTCGTGAGCAACAGCTGAAATCCATGCCGGCCAAGAACAGACAGGTTATTAAATCTGCACAGAAACGTGTCAAGGCTGCAGAAGTGAGAAGAGAGGAGACAGAGAAAAGCTCTGTCTATTTGCAGGACAGTTTGCTGTTTACACACAGTGAAGCAGACGTGTTTTACAGCAACAAACGCACAGTCACTTCATGGACACTACTTTTTCATTCTACCCCAGATGTGCACCTACTCCAAAGTACTTTTACCCCCCATCTGTATGTAACACAACATCACAACACCACAGTGACATTGACTTATAGCATTGGGACATGGAATCATCTCATTTCAAGGCCTCTTGAAAACTTTTAAATAGTATTCTTTGGTCTTAATTTTTTGGTTTGGGATGTAAAATATTATATAATATAAAAGTAATAATATTGCTGCAATGGATTATTGCCTTAAACCAACCACACCTTTACTCAGCCAACAGCATGACATTTCAATGTTCACACTTACCTATGAGGCTGTCGGGTCGGGGGAGTGCACTTCTCTGGTACAGCCCATATGGATCAGCTACGTAGGCCAGCGACTGGCTCTGTCTGGGCAGTGTGGAACCGTAGTGCTGTGGCACCGCTGTCATCCCTGAACGCAGAGGTGACCCTGTCAAACCTCGCCCCTCAATTAGAGAAAGGGTGGAGCCCAGACGTCCACCGATGCCTCCCCCTAAAGCACCTCCTGCACCTCCTATTCCTCCACCACCACCAGCAAGGGCCTCGGCTGTGCCCCCTGTTGGGGAGGTCGGTGACGGGCAAGAGGGAGGCATGGTAGTTCCGGGAAACACCGCAGCCAGGGGTTTGGGTTCAGACAGGATGGGGGAGTCATAGGTGCTGCCCTGGGACGTCCGCAGGGAGACTCGTGAGGGTGAGACAGTGCCGGCAGTGCCACATCCGGGAGACTGGCTCCGGGAGGGCAGGGAGGCCATTCGTCTCAGCACTCGGCTGGAAGGCTAGAAGGGAGAAGACATGAGAGTTAAAGCTTCCCAAACTGTAAATGTGACATTGGATAATCTATTGTTGCAGCTGCTGCTAATGAAGCATCTGTTTTTTATATTATGGGCTTCATAAAACACCCACATATTATTACAGGTCATTAGGCCTGTGCAAACACCATTAAATTAAATTATGTACACAATAAAACATGTGTCTAATGTCTAATAAAAATCTTGAAGTCAGTAACAAGTGCAAAATACTAATGAAAGTGAGTTTGGAGATAAATAAACATAATCTTTGGATAAATCCCAAACCAGAAAAGTTGGTACACGTCTTAAAAATGCAAAACGAATGCATTTGGGGTTTTTCTTTTTCTTATTTTTCATAGACATCAGATAAAAAAACAATTTTAGTGTTTCGAATTGACAAATTTCATTGTAATCGCTGTGATTATCACATTCTGGTTCAGACGGCTCCTGAAATCTGAGTCAAAGAAACTTTTGAATGTGAATGAGCAACAGATAAAAATGAATTAGTGGGCAATAATCATAAAACTGTTGACAATGAATGACTTAAACAGTCGAGCTTTATGTAATAAATGTGTGTAAAATGAGCAGCAGTGACAACACATAACTGTCAATTACCAGTAACATGTCAATCATGGACAGTCGTCGTGTCTGATGCAGAGCATCATTAACTTCTGTAACTGACTGTACATCTGCTTTCATCGTCCTGTTCTCTTATATCAAAGACGTGCTGAGAGAATATGTCATATTTATGGTCAGAAAATCTTTTTTGTCTCTTTTTACTATTAACAAATGCAAAATACCTCTCAATTACAGACGCAGTCAACTGCAGCCTTTATCCATCCAAACCTCAAACGTCTTAAAGAAACATTAAGAGCTAAGACGTATAAACACATCCCTCTGCCTTTGGAATAAATTGAGGAGGAAAATTCAAATCAGCCCACACTTATCTGTCACTCCTGCGTCATCTGTCATAAAAGCAGCATTCAATTATTAGCTACAAAGAATAGGAGGAGGGTGTGGGGGGTTTGAGTCTGGACAGTCTGAAACTAAGAGGTGATGGGATTGTTAGGTTTTACACCCACAACTGCATTATCTCCATCAAGTACCCTGATGACGGCACTAAGTACAACGGTCAAACCAGGGCTGTCTACACGCCATATCATGCATGTTGTATGTTAGCTATCAGTATCAACAACTGTACATTTCTTTGGGAATAATTGTCTTACATATATAGACAATAAAGTACTTCTGGTGTCTGCTTAAAGTACATTTGTAAGCGCCATCTACAGGTGGATCAAGTCACGGTGCAGTTAATATAATTTTTGCCTTTTTGTGCTGTAAAAATGTACTGAACAGTTAGGTCACGCATGTTTGATTTTCCTCTTTAGGAAGTGGCAAACTTTTTTAAATAGAAGACAGATATGGACTGCAGGCAGGACAGTTGAAAGCTAAATCCATGGAGCTTAAATTTGTTGTTTCCAGAATGAAGACTACCACTGTCTGCTAAAGAGGAAACTTTCCACTATGTTCGTTGTACGAACAATTTAGAAATGCACCCGTAATGAAAGTAGAAAAACATTTGCCAGTCCAGCAACCCATGATGTGTTGTCACTGGTCAGCACTGGTCAGCACAGTGTAGCAGTTATCACACCTGACCCCTGTGGAACCACGTCCTAAATCCTGTGAGTCATTTTGGATAGAAGCATCTGCTAAGTAAAATAAATGTAAACTTGTGACCAGTCTGTTTTCCTACTGCAGTCCAGTGTCTCACTGCCCTCGTGGGTAGTTTATGCAATTAGGTCAACAATGTCAGCAGTTTGGAGGAATTTTAACATCGGGAATTCACTGTAAGACTTGTCCTATAACAGTGCGGGCGATTTAATAAGACACCTGAAGATGCAACTTAATGCTGAGTAAGCAAAACGCGCTCCTGGCGTTTACGCCTCTCCAAGTTACTTCTTCGTTAGGACAAATGTGTGTTTTTTTTTTCAATTAAAATGTGTCCTTTGTATATAGGCTCTGATCAGTCTCTGTTCAGCTGGCTGTGATAACTATGCAGAATGCTTCAGTTTATGTTATAAATCATATTTAACACAATTCTAACATGACAACAGTAGGAAATCATTGAAGATTTGTTTTCTCCTGCAGTGACACAGCCTTCTGTTAATGAGAAGGAAGTAGAACTGGCTGGAGATATTCTCCTGCTCGGTGTTCTCACTGTGGTTTAGGTTGAGCTCCCACCCACGTACTGTACTGCACATCACCATATTACCCACCAGCTGTACCCAGCTATATATCACTGCCTTCCAGGTCACTGCATATTTATTGAAACTGTACTGTAGTAGTAGTACTTGGTATCGTAAAGTACACAAGTCCAAGTGCTCGTCCTCATATTGGTTTGTGAGAAAATGATATTCTTACGTTTTCATTATTTCTTTGTTTTTATTCATGTAAAGTAGGGGTTTAAATACATATCCAAACGACCAGATTTAGAATTCATTAGAGTACCAACTTTTCTTGAAACAATTTGGTTTGTCATGGTCTCGTATAAAACGAGTTATTATGTTGTTTCTGCACTGTACATGAACTCAGCACCTGCTGTGGTTTGTGTTGTCATGTGATCAGGCAGCAGTAAGACAAGTCAACAAGCTAGCATCCATTGTCCTGTGATTGAATAAGATTAGCTCTAGTGTAGCTGTCCACTATATTTGTGATCTTCATCAGTGCAAAGAAGAAATAGAATTACTGAAATGTTGAAATGATTATTTTCCTAAAACAAGGCCGATCTTTAACCTGACTATAATTCAGTCCCACCTGTCCTGAGGCTTGACCTTCAGCTCTTGGACTTCTTGATAGTGAAGCCCGGGGCTCTGATCGCACCACGTTCTGGTTGCTATAATAACTAACACTGCTGTCCTGGTAACCACTGTCTGAATATGAGGTCATCTGCGCCGAGTGACCGCCTGAGTCTGACAGAGAGAAGAAACAGGAAAGTAAGGAAAAGCGTCATTATTCCCATGCAGAGAGACAATGCAGCGGTTTGAGGAGTGATCAAAGTGATCTTCATTATCTGCTTTTGGATTTGCATATCATCTTACTGTGCTTTCAACTTGTCAAAATGTATCTGCATCACGCTTTCACGCACTTCCTTTCTTTATCTTTATCTGCATATATTGTACAGCCTCAATAACAATGGCCTACTTTCCTCTGTAAAGAAGGAAGCACGTTGAGGGTATTTTTATACAGTAGAACTAGACAAGTCAAATCTTTAATGAAACAGAAAGGAAGTATTGTTATAGCCTTGGAAAATCAGTTGGATATCTTTTATAACATTTTTAAAAGATGCATCTATGCTCAACACTTCAAACCACCAGTGGAACAAAGACCAGCAGGTGGCAGTCACACAACTCAAAAAATGCAAAACTGTTGTTAAAAACCAAAGAAGACAAAACCACTAGGGCTCCGGACAGGGGTAAACATATTAATCATCAAAAGAATACCTTTCAAATGACATAGGATTTACTTTCGAGGTTATTTAAATAAAGAATGTTGTTATAAGCCTTTTGGTGATTTTTGTTTTAAAAATACTGTTTTTTTTACTTCAGTTCTAATGATGTAAATAGGACTGGATTTTTGGGTTGAAGAACTCAAGTCACAGAGTAGGGTTTTAGAATTGGAGGTTACAGCTCCCCCTACTGATGAGGCCCATGTTTACCGACACCTATACTACCTCAAATTTCTACATACTGTACATGAGCTCTAAATTAATCAATATTAAATGTATTTTTCATTCAGCAATAAAGATGATCCAAATGATGGGCATTCTCTTCAACACATGCACAATTTGCTCTAGTTTCATTCCTATTTACGACATGCTACAGGTGCCCAGGTGTTTTTGGAAAACACTTGTGCTTTTGGGCTTACATTTATTTATGGTGTGTAAATTTAACAGACCCTCACTGTCATGCAGGGAGGCACGGTCCTGTTCAGGCAGATAAAGTCCTTCCTCCACCCCCAGGTGGCGACCAGATGCTTCCATGGCTCCACTCTGCGACTCTCCACCTGCCAAAGCATCTGTCAGTTAGTTAAAATCAAACATTAATCCTGAGCTGTGTCCTAATACAGATTGGGTTTTTTTTAGGTTCTAACTTTATTTGCGGGGAGATTGCTCATGTTTGTTGCAATATTGCTAATGTTTGTTGAAGGCCACCGTGCCCGCTGTAATGCATGGAGGTGGCAGTTTCATGTTTTTGTTTCAGGACGGAGTAGGATATCAACATTTCCAAATAATATTTGCCTTGGCTGCAGAAAAATGCTGTGAAACTTGAATAATATTGACTCTTCAGGCCTGCCACCAACCAGCTATTGTAGGGTATAATGCAGAGCAATCTGCCTGTAGTCCAGTTGCTCGGTTGTGACATAATTGGACAACTTCTAGCTGTCCAATGCAGCTTACTTTTACTGCAGACCACATTTAGGCACTTTGTATAAAAATAAAACACAAAACATAAAGCTGCACAGGGAAGCTACGTCAGCACATGGATGGAGTTCTACCACATCAATCAGCAATTTTGAGTTTGAAAAAATAAGTGTGCTTTAGAAAGTGCTTTTTCTTTATTGGAAAGCTGGCAGTGATGGATAGGTCAGGAAACAGAGGAGACTTAAGGCCTAGAGGAACCAATTTGAACTTATTTTGCTTTGTTCAACTAGTCCGTGCTGATACGTTCTGCCCTTAATCTATCAAGGTCTCAAACACCTCAAAGGAAAACTAAACAGAGCTGAGCCAAGCTGCACAACTTTGGATGTTTCTAGCTTCTATGTGGGGGACAAAAGGTTGTTTTACAGATCCAGATTTTAAAATAACAATATCATTTCCAAACAATGTATTCTGAAAAACAAATGGCACAAGGCTGAATTTATACCTGCCATTCTCCATGCGTAGGACTTCTCAGATGAGCTTGAGCGAATGAGAAGAAATAGAGGGAAATAGAGAGGAGGTGAGAACACAGAAGGAGACGTAAATCAAACCAGACTCACATTTAAATACCGTAATCCGTATTCCACCGTATTCAATCATACTAAGTAAAAGGATGATGGCAGAGTCTGTGTGCAACAAAGTCACTTGGGCCCCTTTTAATATTCATTACTAGTACTAGGCCCGCGTCCCGGTAACAGATAAGGGGGTGAAAATGGATGAATGGATACTACTAGTACTGATAAAAGGTCTTAACATAAAACTATACTAACTATAAATGTTTGGTATTACTTTTACCAAGTTGATTATTTTTTACACCATGATGAAGAAAAAGGCAAGAATGACACAAAAGCATGTGAGGGTGGTGCAGAAACAAGGTAAAGCATTGGTTAGTTGTGCAGTTGGAGTGACAGATGGGTTCAGGGTATGAATGGATTCAAATCAGGGACGAGTCAGTTTGCTTCGATGATAGATGGATTGACAAATGAGTTCAGGCAGGAGTCTCCATGGACCTTGATGTTTATAGACGTCATTGTAATTTATTGCAACAGTAGATATCAAGTAGGAAAGAATGTGAAGAGGTGGAGGTCTGCACTGTAAAGGAGGGGGATGAAGGTGGGTGGGTCAATAGGTCAGCCAGTCAACTGTTCGCTACAAACATCGACCAGTCAGTAGGCTATAGGTCAATTACTCCAAAAGGCCGTTGGTCTTGTGATTGGTCTGTAATTTAGTGAGTCGGTTGCATTAATAGATGGTTGGGTGGAAGGATGAATGGTTGGAATGCTTAGATGGATGGACGGACAGATAGATAATTAATTATACGGCAGTAATCAGCCACGCACGAGTGGCATCCTGTTACTGAATAGTCTGGTGCACGACTCCTGCATTGCTCTAAATTTAGCTTCTGAAAGGCTCAAATATAGACCACAGCCCACTTGAGAAGTATCTGTGTTGGACACGTTCTAGATGGAAAACTATAACTATTGGTATTTATGATCCATGATTCTCTTTGAAGGCGTAGTTTCAAGTGGAGGTCTTTGGTGTTTAGCGCAAAACAGAGCAAGGAATCGGTTCATTATGTTTACCTGCTACTGTCTCCTGCAGGGGACTCTGCTCCCAGCATGCACCGCTCCAGCTGGCTGGCTACGATCTGTCTCTCCTCCTCCAGCTCCCGAGTCAGTCGCTCAAACTGGAGCTCCTATATCAAGAAGATAACAGCAATCATTATAACCTGACATCTGCCATGACACTGCAATTTCAGCCTCTTTTGTACAGCCTATTTGGAATTAAACGTGGAGGCTGTTTTGTATTCAGCCGGCACGGCTTGACTGATCTGTCGGTGCCTGAAAGCTCTCCGAGGGACTGCAGCCTTTTCTTAAGCTTGTTAAAGTGTATATGAGATTTTCAAACACTGGAGCTGTGTCCAAAGTCTCCTAATGGACATCTGCCAAGATAATGTGACTCCAATCAGTCTGAGATCAGCAAAGCTAATCAATAACAGCACAGAAAAATCTAAACAAATATAAACTTCAGGGTTTTGATTTATAAAGCGAATGAACGCAAGAGAAATCTAAACTGTAGCTACGCAGAGCCATCAAAACAGCATTGATTCTTGTAGGTACACTTGCACAGTCTTTGAAGAAATGCAGCAGCTGAAACCCATCCATCCATCCATCCATTTTTGTCCGCTTATCTGCCCTAACCGGGATTCGATCTTGCCCAAGAGGTGAACCCAATGACAGAGACATTGCGTCTGGGCTAAAGCGCCACCAGCTGAAACCCTTTGGTCTCTAATATGCTATAAATCCACACAAAGTTAGGGTTAAGACTAGGGATGGCTCGATCCGATACTCAAGATTGGTATCGGTCCGATATTGGTCAAAATTTCAGGATGAATATTGAAAAAAAAAAATCAACTATAGCCTATCCGATCCAATACCTAATCCCGACATCCTTCCAGGACTTCTCCACATCTTCCAATGAAACTGGATGTATGTTTGGATGCTGTGCCCTGCTGCAGAGTAAGTTGGGGTTTAATTACACCTCCCTGTTGTTAATGCATGATGGATAAGCTCCTGCTCATTTTAATAACAATCAAGAAAACCATTAGTCCAGGCCAAATCTACATCTCCATCCATCAATACGTCGCACAGAACCTCCACTAGGCTGCACCATTGCAAACACTCCCTTACACGCTCTAATTTAAGGCCTGCCTGTGTCAGTGTAGGACGGTACCGTTTTCCATGTAAATACCGTATAAGCCAAACCCTCATTGTTACGTTTAATGGAGGTTTTACAATGCACCGTAAAAGCCACACTCCCACAGTGCTGTCGTTTTGTAATTATGTAACTTAGATCCAAGAAATGCAAAAAATTCAATCATGTGTGATAGTACAGCATCGGAATATTAGCCACATAAAACCCCGACTGTAAGCTGCGGCCTGATTTGAGTAAAATATATGGTATTTGAACCGACATTTTAAAATGGGGGTCATTATGGTGTCGTCGGTTATTTATACACCTGACAATACTCTTACATTAACAAACACTGCAGGTGTACTCAAAACTACAAGTGGTAGTAGTGGTAATAGTGACTCAAAGCATAAATCTGTTTTTCTCACACTGCTTCCTCATTCATTTGCACAGCGGGGGGGGCTGCACAGGTAAAGGGAAAATAAGTTTGCAATAAGTAAAGGTGCTTTTCTTAAATCCCCTTATCTGTCCCCCACATGGAAGTGTTGTGGCAGTGATTAAGTCGCTGTATATTCTCTACTGCTGCTCCTGCTGCTGACGCCACCCCTGTTGTGCTGCACTGAATTCACGAGAATATTTCATTTGCATTTCCAGGTACCAGAAAACTACAGAGACTCTTTGTCTTGGTTTTGAACATTTAAAAAAAATGGAGAGCGTATCTATACTTTAAAATGGGTTCGTCCACATTTCAATGACATTGTGGTCATACAAACAAACAAACAAACAAACCAACAAACAAACGAACAGAAATAGTCAATTTTTCCAATTACGTAATTCTTGCTGGTTAAACCTGTAAATGTTAATTCAAGATTATGTTAGGAAATTATGATAGATATAAAATTCTGTTGTTGTGTATCAAACTAATGCCATATGTTCAAAATCCCTACAGTAGGTGATTTAGTTTGTTTTTACATTCTAATCTTACAGATGTTGTCAAATGTTGGTTATATTTTAATTATATTCAGTTCAAGAAGAGATTTTAAACAGTTTTTTCTGAGAAAATTGAACAAATCCTCAAATCGTGTGGTACATTATGACAACATTACGCTACACTTCAAAAGCAGGGACTTTAATCTCTCGCTCAGTTGTAAAGTAGAGCAGATTTTTGCTGACTGGCTCTAAAAAGATAGAAGTTTTGTCATCCTCTCATGTGTATTCAGTTACATAACATGGGATGTTTGCCAGCCACAGGATAAATCGGAACCACAGCTGGTGTCATCACAAAGAAATCAGCTGTCTGGTACAAATATTACTTTAATAAAAACTGTTTGGAAGACACAGATCTCTGAAGGAAATCATATTTATATAGGAAGTTCATATTTTGAGTAACCACAATAAAAAAAACCATAAATATGTGATAAAAAAATACATGTTTAGAAAAAGCCTTTTAGCCCTACACCACAGCACTTGTGAACATCGTAGAATAACTGAATCCAAAAATACTCCCTAAGGAACAATGAATGGCCTGAACTTTTGAAGTGAAGTGAAAACCAAGCCTGACTTTTTATAGCTACTCTTGATTCGTCAAGAACCACAGCAAGAGGCTGAAAAAGGTGAAAACCATAAAGGCCAAAAGGGGGCAAGAAAGAGTTTGGTAGAAAAAGAATTGGCTGTTATTAAGCAGTAATAGCATACAACTGACAAAGTATAATACGTTTTAAAGGATTTAGTTGCCTGGTATTTGCAAAAATCACTTGAAACTAATACTTAATTTATTAATTAATTAATTTGTGCATAAGAGCAACTCAGCAACACTCTATCCATTCATCTCCTGTGTTTCCAAGGCAACACACTAAGAATCAGTGGGCCAACAAAGTACAATTGCACTGGAGGACGGAGCTGAAAAACGCTGGGGAAAAGATCAAGCTCTCACCTAGAGCATTCAGTGACAACATGTTGTTTGTGACGCGCCTCGCTCACCACCACGGAGCAGCACAGCGTCAGGGTACCAAAACACACACACTGCTCCTTGTTACTGCAGGCCTCTAGGGGAGTGGGAGGGGGAGTGGGGTGTAATGATGTAAGGGAACAGGCCTGACCTCTGCCATGCCAATCCCAGTCTGGTACCAGCTGGGACCCTACCAGACAATTCTTTACAGTGAAGAGTTCCAGAATGGGTTTTTGTTGTTGTTGTTGTTGTTTTTTCTTCATCATCTCTGTTTCCTGCTGTGTCTAATCTTCAGCCCCAGCTGCTTATCTACCCTGCATCTGTAATATCTATGAAAGTGTTCTGCCTGGATCTACTGCTGGAAAATGTTTTTGCTCTCACAAAGGCGAGTCTGAGGGAGAAACGACTTTAAACGGAAAATGGATGAAAACTGATGCTCATTCTCACTTGAACATAAAAAAGACCCAAAGTTAATTTAATGTTTAAAGTAATATTGCAAACAACCCGGAAGTATAACTTGCCCTTCAGGAATTGTGGGATCTTTAGTTCGATGTGCGACACAAAAAAAATGGTAACATTTGTGCCTTTTACATTTATATCAGGTTCTCAAACTCATATGTACTGAGGCCAGTTGTGGGTGGTTCGAGGACCACTTTCGGCCCTATGACCAGGAGTTTGAAACCTCTGATTTGCATAGTTATATCTGATAGTTATTTATCTGTATGTATATTCCCATCACATCACCCCTCGTGCCTCCTTCCTGCAACCTTACTGTGCTGACACAGAATGTAACAAAATCCGCAGGATGTTGCACCAGTGTGCGTATGTGTGTGTTTACTCAGCAGAATCACAAAACAGCATCATGTTGCACCTGTCTGACTCAAAACATCCGTAGTTCCAGAAAAAGATGCTTTCATTGAAACACGTGTCCACAATTGAACCTTTACAAATATGCAGTTCATCAGTGGAATAAGGAATGAGGTAGCACCCGTCCAGTACCATCACAGTTTGTGGAAGACGTTAAAGCCATTTCCAAACTTAGTTGTGTCAGGTTTTCCTCTTCTATAAATAGGGTCTGTCCACAGGAGGCACGTTTGACAATATACTGCAGTTTTAGAGTAAAACAAACAACACAGGTGACCGTTGCAGACCATCTCCTCTCTATTTCTACCTCTTTCACCGGCCAATGAATATGTTTGTCCAATGTAACCTAATGAGAGTTCAGAGGCGTAAAATTCCTCTAACAAATCCTATTCTATGGAATCGTTAAAAACCTTACTCCCACACACATTTATTTTTTTGACAGCAAATTATTAATGACACGTACTGCGGCAGGTATTTTTTCTACTTTAACTATGAGTGCGTTCCACGTTCTGCGAACCAAATTTTCAACAATTAAAGGCAGCAGAAAAGCAATGATTCTACTTCCTACACAAGATCAGAGCAGCACAAGACCCGCTCATGCTACTCCGTCTCTCTCCACCTACACAGGAACCCCCAGATGAATGGAAACAAGGTTTTCACAGGAGGTGAGGTGTCCACCTTTTATAGGAATCAACAGGTCATGCTCGTCCCCTGGGGCTCTGTGAAAGAGCATTGAAGGAGACATAGAGAGTGACTAAAAGGATAAGGCGGGCAAAGGTAAAGTGGGTTCACTGAGAGTAAATAACTGCAGGGCGAGCAACAGGAGGAGAGATGAGAGGCACCATCCCGGGGAGAACACACTTCTCTGATCCTAACCCTGTGGATCAGGAGAAATTAGCTTCTTCTTCCTCTTTCTTGCCTTGTTAGTTTCCTGCCGCGACTCTGCAGCAGGAAACTAACAGGCTTCTTGGGTCAGACAATCCCCAAAGGGAGAAGATTTCTCATATATGAAGAAAATATTAAATTTAGACAGATTATTAAATCATTAAATAATAATTATCTTCTCATCAAAGATTACACAGGCCTGTCACTATCTAAAGTTGACGATGATTAAAGCAGATTCAGAAAGTTTGTAGACATCCTTAAAGGTAGAGTGAACACTAGTGAACAATACTGCTTGACATTTAGGCCTACAGCAAACTATTATGCAATCTGGATGGACATAGCCACATATCCTTGAGATTTTGAAACATATTTGTCATTGTCTCTGGCTGAAGGGACACATTCAAGACTATTGTTAAATTATAGATGTTTTGCTGCTTTTTTAAAGGGGAGCAGGGGGGCAATATCTCTAATTGTGGCCCTAATTACTCCAATCAATTGCCCTGCAGAGTGCTGCTGTGG